TGTGAGATGCAGCAGAGTGCCGATACTTGTATTAATCAACGCGCGATATGTAACTACGACGTTAATCGGGATCAAGCTTCAACATAAAAGATTTCCATCATCTATAATTGGATGGTAATCGCGATTTCTGTCACATTAGGCGGAAATTTTAAGTACGATCTCGAATTGCAAATTGCCATTGTATTCTGTCACTTGGTTTATCACTCATTAACGTCACTCGTAACGCGATCTATGTCAATAATTCACTGTGTTTGAAATGAGCAATTAATTGCTTATTAGATGAAAGAAAAAGAGAAACGTAAATTCTGAAAAACATCAATGTTATATTGATGTGACGTAATAATGACGTATTAATCAGAAGAAACGTTTTTGCCAGTAAGATTTGATTGAAAGTTTTGAATTCTAATAATAGACATTAGTGTAAGTTCAAAACAATGTGGAAAATATCATTTCTGATTAGTCTACACACACGATCTCGCTTCTAATAGCCAATAGATTCGGATCTGAACTTGAAATATGTTCTTGTAATTCCGATACTGTGCGGCAGTATTAAATCAGCGTCGTTCACATGAGCGAAACGTGTAACAAAATAGCGACAAATACGCGATGGTATCTTTACGATGATTTCGGGAGGAAAGATCGAGGGCTCGCGTACAGAGGTGCGTTGGCGCGCCGGGTACGTTTAACCGAGTCCGAGTCTCGAGATACGAGGTGGTTGTCGTCTCTGGGAGCTAATGGGATGCCGCGGACACTCTCCTCTCGTCCGAATCTCTTTGATCCTGGCCGACCTTGCCCTCGCCTCGGTGACTCCCGTCCTTCTTACATCTCCGGCTCTTGTCGTTCCTTTTTCTTCTCGCGCACCATCCTGACCTTATCCACCAGCGGTCGGGAATTTTCATGGTGGTCGCGAGATTCTCCCGTCCACGCGCGAGCATGTATTCCACGTGAGCTCGTTCCGCGCGTGAGCTCGGAAATTTTTTATACGATCGTCGCGATGATAAGGTTTTAGATCGGTAAAAATGACGAAAGACAATATTCTTTTCGAGTAAAAATCAAGTTGCTCTTCGAATTTTAAAGCTCTCGAAGATAAAGCGTCGTATAAGTAAAACTTATTCTTAAACTTGGATGTTTTCTCGTGGACGAAAAATCTACTATGTTACACATTTTTATTAGATTATCGTTAATAACAGATTCTCCAGCAAACTTAATTAATCTTCGAACAAAATTTTTAAAGTAAAATCGATTTAAATTAAATAAAGAATAAAAGTTTCTTAACTTCGAATCTCTTGTGCTTCTGAAACTTATTCGTATAAATTAATTATTAAAAAACAATGATTTTTATAAAATGTATTTTCGATCTTTTGTAATCCTAAAATTATTGATATCTTTGGATTAAACTTCCTATCTTTAATTCGTTTGCAGAATCTATTATTAGTCGATAAAAACATGAAAATGGAACATGCTCTATATTTGCTTTTCTTCAACATTTATAATTACTTATTTCTCTTCTCTAAGTATCTATTGGTATAAGACGAATAGCTAATTTATCTTGGATATTTCATGTCGTCAGTTCGACGGAGATCAATCCTTAGACACAAAATATCTCGCTGACATATTTGTACGATTATCAGTAAAGAATTATGCATTGCTAATAATTTTATTTAGTGTTCTTATGTTGTTTTTACAAGTTGCTGTTTTATAATGAGTAAGTTCTTGAGCAATAGATAACAGCACAATGTACTGTCTTTGCCAGCACACGCTTATCTTTAGTACTTATTTTTCGTATAACCGTGATGTTACGAAGGTGACACTATTCCGATGATTGTCTTTGTACTGACGTCACTGGCTGATTGTCACTGACGATAATTAACGTCTAATTACACTTATCAATTGATTACAGTGCATGACTAATGGTCAATGTTGCAAAGAATGCAAAGGTGAGAAAATTGATACGCGGATGAGTGACACGATAAACAAGATGTAGCTTCAAAATTAACACCCTGCCCAACATTCATAAATATAAGAATCATATGAATTCATATGCATGATAAGAAACTGCATTATGTATTATAATTTATTTAATTCTTCTTAGTATTAGAAGTATTTTCATATATTATGAATTTTCTTAATTATATCGTTCAACTTCTACCGAAAAATCCCAACATAAATACTAAAAAATAAGAAGCACGTAAAAAATATTCATTGGAACACGAATATATATAATATGGATTTATATGCACATTTAACATTAATTGTAATTAAAAAGAGCTGTTTTTCAATTGATTACCTTTATTATAATTATCTTTCAATATATGCATATTAGAATATTTGCGTATTTCATGTATTGTTTTACGCAGTAGCTAATTTGATTGCATGTTTCCATGATTTTAATAAATAATAAATTATTGGTCCACTCAAATATATAATATAGATAAGATTTCCTCGCTGTAAATCGGCAGAAAATATATTTTGTTTAATAAATAGTTCAGAGAGTATTGAGTAAAAGCTTCAACAAATTTTACACACGATAATTCGTAAGTAATTTACTCGTCAAGTGTTGCAAAATAACTTGACATTGTATCAACGTTATCTATCTATGGGTACAAAATATACGAAACTCGCGTATACTGCATTATTACTGACAACTATTATGATACCTTTTATGACAAGAATAAGTAAGACCTAAAAGAAACAGACCATATCAGAGAAACAAATCTAACCAAATAATAAGTACAAGATGTTCTAAAACCATCTAGCGAATCTATTTTTAATTATAATATCTGATTAATTTGAAAAAGATAAAAATCAGCAATGTAGATCAGCTGCTAGGTAATAATAATAATAATAATAATGGATGTTATAAATATTTGTTAGAGTTTGGGACGATTTGCTATTTACTAAAAAATTATTAAAAATTGTTATCTTGTAATAATTTTTGTAATAATACTGTTCAAATTTTACGAAAATTTTACACAGAGTGTATCATATCGACACTTCATGCATGCCTGAGTTAAGCATTGCGAAAAAAAAATTAACGTTCATCGAGCGAGTCAGAGCTGAAACTCCGCAAATTCTCGGCCGCGACGAGTCGCACCGCGTCGTTTCGCGTGCAGAGCGCAGAATCCGGTAGACACCGCCGACTCCGGACGGCTTCGCCGTCGAAACTCTGGGCGGAGTTCTGTCGGTGAAACGTAAATGTGCGCCGCCCAGACGTGTACGCCCTTGATGCTCTTGAACGCGCTTCCGTTGGCCGCATCTCTACGTCGCTGCTTACTCACGCACTCGCGTAACGACGCGTCTCGAAAGAAGTAATGCACTACGTCGCGCTACATTTCGACTAATTTTCAAGCGGCTTTTCAGTGCCACAGGCCATGATATTAAAAGCTTTTCATATCCGATTTTTCGAATGCGCCGCTGCGCTTTTGCGTTTAACATGCTTTTTCTCGCTGCTGACTATGAATTATCCTTGTATACTCGTTAAATGGATCAGTTAACTATAAGCTACCGCGTATTCTATCGCTTTTTTTATGTAACTCGCACGTGTATTGCACTACGTGCAAAGTTCGAATAGTATATCTTCATAGTTATTCTTCCCGAAATGTTTATGTAAATTTATGCAAAATTTATGCAAAACGCATTTCTTGACGCTATATAAATATTGCATATTGAAATAAATATGCAGAATGTAATTATTCAAATGTGATAAATTGATCGTTTACATCAAATTTTAAAGATTAATTATGGTTTAGTAAAATATGCAATATTATGTGAATATATATATTTACATCAATTTCCAATATATGAAGTATGATTCTATCCACAGATTTAGCACATGTTAAATATAATAATCACATTAAAACGTATTGTAATTGTGATTTTTTTTCCGATATAAAAAGATGCTATCACATCTTGAAACAAAAAAAACTATCAATTTTGAAACTTCTAGTTTGTGCATTGAAACACTGCATCCAAAGAGAAGAAAAATTCTTGTTAACTTTGTTAAAATACAGTATGTGTTACAAGTATTCCTTTTTGTTAAAATTTTTCTTTTCAATTAATTATCTAAAATTATAATTTTATTTATATAGGTATGATGTACGGCTATTTAAATAGTACATAATTCGATGGATTAACACATCTTTTAAGAGTATACGTTGCACTAATTGACGCTAATCTGTTTCCCAAATTTGTGAAACCTACACAGCAAAGCCCAGCAATATTTAGAGATCTTTTCTTTCCTAATTTAAAAATTTTTGTATTTTGTTTTATTTATTTAAAAAAGTAACATGGATTTTTCATGTATATTAATTTTTTACTTTAATTTTGAATTTTTATCTTGCTGCTCTTTGTGGCATCCTATTTTTTTTATAAATTAATTTCTGAAAAATAATCTTCCTCATTCTATATAAGGAGTGGGTGTGCAAATATTCTCGTTATATCTCCAGTACGATTCTATTGCGTAAGCTTTATCCGCGAAATCGACGATAACATGTCGTTGTGAAAGCGATGACAGAACAGATCGGCGTATTGATTATTTTCGTTTGTCGACGCCGACACAGATGTTGTTAATCGCTATTTCGCGACTAATATGTAACTAACGGAGTAATAGTTATGATTGACGATAAGATCGATCGCGATCATGCACGCACATTCAGTCATGTTTTAATTTGATCGCGTGTCATTCGTTACACACATTATAGAATACCACAAAGTAAATTCCTTTTTGTACTTCCGTCGCAAGCGCGTACTTCAGCGATAACATAATGATCATTTTATGTTATTCTTCGATATCAACACTGAATCTTTTGAAGAAACATGTCGGTGAATTTCTAGGTCACGCACAACTTTTGCCAGAAAAATTTTGAAAGTTAAAAATGTAAGAGCAACATTTTCCACACACAATGATGTTATATTTAGCACTAAGAAATAAGATCCTGATGATAAAAATAGGATTTTTGGGACAAATGCAATCATTTCTAACTCGATTATTTATGTTTCAGAAAGCAGAAGTTCGCTCTGTGTTGGCTGCGGCAGTCGGATTCATGACCAGTGGATTTTAAGGGTAGCACCTAATCTTGAATGGCATGCGGCATGTTTAAAGTGTGCCGAATGTCAACAGTTCTTGGACGAAAAATGCACCTGTTTCGTGCGAGACGGCAAAACCTACTGCAAGCGCGATTACGTGAGGTGAGTTACATCCTTGCTTTCTTTGGAAGAATTCCACGTTGAAAAGTCAGACAGGAAAACTCGCCTCTCGAAGGAGTCATTCAACCCTAGCTATACGAAAAGTTTTAGATATCTTTAATAGCCGATTTAACGAGGAAAGATAGATGAATGTTTAATTTTTTACACGCATATCTTACACATCTCAGAGAGAATATGATATATTCATTTAAAAAATACAAAAATATCGCTTTTAAAACTGTGAAAATTTTCGCTCATTAATTGCCGATGCGTAATTAAGTTCTCGCGTTACGAGAGTAGCGAAACCGTGCGATGACGTTAGAACGTCAAACGAATGTCGTCTCATCGCTCAAAGGTTAAGTATCGCTCCTTAACGAACGAATTCCTCGAAGAGGTGGAACGAGAGGTACTCGAGAGAAGGCCCGGCGCGATCGCGGTGCAATATGGTAATTAATGCAAAATCGTGCCTCTTGTCAGTGCGGCCGCTACATTCCCCGGCGACACGCGATACGCTCTTTCCGATACGCATTTGCAAACGCTCGGGATTGGGAGGCGAATAAAAAGGAAAAGACAGAAAAGGGAGATCGAGGGAGGAAGGGGTCTCGACAGGGTCGAGAAAGTCCGGAGTATTTTTATCCGACGGTATACGACGCGATGCGGCACGCTGCTGTATGCACCGTATGCCAACGCCGTCACTGTCATGACGTTGCGTGCGCTGGCATGTGCAAAAAAAAAAGAAAAACGGCACGCAACTCGCACGAGCGAGAAAATCGCAGAGTTTACGCCTGCGGATAACGCGACGAGGCGATTCGTGGCATTGATCGATACTTTCTACTTCTGACGGTGACGTTATTATTAATGTTACGGTTGAAGCAATCGTATCAATTCGTAACAACCGCGTGAATGCAGAAAATCCAGAATTAATCACGAATAAATTGAGGAAAATGCCGATGAGATCGATGTCGATCAATAGTATCAAAATTATAAAATGAAAAATTTTGTCGCGAAAATGGAAATAGAAATTTTTGGTTTATCTTTTCAAAATAATAAATTGATTTAAAATTTTTCACAAAAATTAATCAATAATTCAAAAATTTTTGTCGATAGTTTTTCGGCTCTTGAAATTTATACATCTAATGAGCAAGCAAGCGGGAAAGAGAGAGATAGCGGTGGAAGAGTGAAAAAAATTTTCATTATAGACTTTGCAAATGTATCTTCATTGCTTAGCAATTTATAATTCTTCATTAAATTGCTTTTTGCTAATTAAAAAACTATAATTTATGTTAAAACAATATATTTTAAAAATTATTTAATATATGACACACTTGTTTAGTGAAATACGTTATTGTTAGATTTTTTCGAAGATTGCATTTTTCTTGCACTTATCATGACAATAATCTATTTCTTTTCAATTATTGGCTTTCTCTTCAATTATTGGTTTTCTGTTCTGTTTCCGATTGTGACGAAAATACCTCAATAACGAGCTTACAATCGAATCAATTATCATAATTGATTTTACAACTCTTCTATCGCCGATGCTCTCAATTCTTTCTGCTATTACTAAATTAATTGGAGTTAATGTATTCATTTCGTCATCATGTCAACTTTTGTACGATAGAAACAAGAATGAAGATGCTGGAAATGAAAAGACGCAATGCTCGCACGCGGAGATTTTTCCGTTTTTTTTTTTTTTCACCGTGCATCGCGGTAATGCCGTCAAATAATCCATCGGCACGAATTCGACCTGAACCAAATATTTTTCTCCGTCGAGGCAGCGGGTTTATTTGCGCTAATCCGTCGAACGTCGGCACGTCGCCGCACTCGAGGAAGACTGGCGTATCCGGCCGCGGATTCGAGCGACAGCGATGACGGCCGTTTGTTGTTCCTGTCGCTTTCGCTCAAAAGTCCAAATTACTAGTAACTCCGTTCTCGCATGCCCTTCTGGGTGTTCCCGGCGGTAGCCGATTTCCGACAGATGGACAGATGTCGACTCGCAAAAGTACCGCGATTGTTACATAAAAAATAATCGCAGATGGTCGAATGTTAGAGCTGACGACGAACACGATATAACGCATCGATTGCGCAAAACGCGGACGGTTGTTCGTACGTGTAATGCGCCGAAAGATCTCGGTACGTGTGGAGAAAATTTATCGACTTTGAAAAAAATAAGCAATGGCAACAATAACAATCGAAATGCCTATTGTCAACGCGACCGTCAATTACGTGTACGGGCGGACCATTAATCCCGCGTTACATCGCCATCAATTTCACTCACATTACCGCGAATAGCGGCGAACTTTTCCAATGTTTCGCTACATTGGATATTTCATTACATCTCGTACCACACGTTCGCATGGAATTTATTTATTGAATTTATTTATAAAAAAAGAGAATGGCTCTCAGTATATTGCATACAGAAATAAATATACAACGCGACAATAAAAGTCACTTTGGCTCAATTTATGTTCCTCCACTTTGCATTCATCGGATTTAGAACGAAGCTTTTTATTTTACCAACTAAAAATATTTACAACTTTGCGACGCAATGAAATAGAAGATAAATAGAGAATGGAAATATAACATAAATAACAAAGTAATTAAAATTCATAAAATTCAATCGGCATAGATTAATATTGTCAGTCTGACGCAAATTTTGTATCAAGAAAATAATTTTCGGTGGCTTGTCAGTGAAAAATTTGTATTACCCATCATTAGTCACAAAAATCGAATCAATTAACATTACCAAACAATTAACAAGAATTCGATCTCGACTGTTCTAACAACAAATAAATTACGCGAAGATCAAAAATACACTAATCAATATGCGTAATTAATGAAAGGCAATCCTTTTTAATAATTCAACGTGGAATTAAAAAATTATATTTATAAAATATATGTTTAGAAATTTTGTTATTAATGCTAGAAATTGCTAATAATCATATGAACATTGGATTCCAAATCAAATTATTAGAAAGAATAATGAAACGAGTGCACATTACTTAATCACGTTAAACGTGTTCAATTGAAATGTTACAAATTTACTTTTCGTTACATATTCGTTAAAGAATTAGCTATCTATAGGCGTCAAAAGGTTGAAAATTATTTTTTTATTTGTAATTCGTAAACTCTTGTGAATTCTCATTTGGTAAATTCATAATATTCAACAAACTAAACTATATTTTTTTTTGTGTGCAGGTTGTTTGGCACGAAATGCGACAAGTGTAGCCAGTGCTTTAGCAAAAATGACTATGTGATGAGAGCGAAAACTAAGATCTATCACGTGGAGTGCTTTCGGTGCAGTGCTTGCTTGAGGCGGCTGGAGACCGGCGATGAATTCGCTCTAAGGCAAGACGGTCTCTTTTGTCGACACGATCACGACGTTCTCGAAGGCGGAAAGCATTGTACCGGTACTGTCGGTATGCCCGGAAGCGAAAACAACAATAATGCCTCTCTGACAAACAACAATCATCATTTGCACCCGAACGACGGTTCAATGTCAGGTAAGAAAATAATCTGTGGAAAAGGAACCTTTTTCCTCAGCTAATTTCGATACCTTTTAGGTAATCAAATAATTTTGGAAAGTCACACGCAAGCTATACAATAAACTTCATTTGATTCAAAGCAATGTAAATCTAACCAAAAGTTCCGTCGCTTTCTTAATTTAGAAGTTGCAATATTACAAAATCTAGTTTGCGTCTCTTATTATTTTCACCCGCCCGTCAATTATCCTTAATTGGATATCGGTTAAGTCCGTTTCACACCCGCGGATTAATCGCGCGTGTGAAACGGGAATTCAGCTTCTGCATTGCACGATGACAGATAGGATATGTCTGTGGATTATCAGGTACAGTCTATCCATGTATAAAGACAAATTTACAAAAGGGTGCGCGCTCGAGGGTAAGCTCAAAGGACTCTCCTAACAGCGATGTTGTGTTAGGATCACGACGTATAATTAGGTGTTGATAATTGAAGCCGTTAAGACCATAAAGGCTTGACCACTACCCTCCTACACGTCGGGATTACGTAGGCTTAATGTCCTGTAGCATAGCATAATGCGTGTACATCCGACCGAGCGTACTGGGCAAATTAACTCGACCGAGCGGGAATCGAAATTCAGGTACTAAATCTAACCCCGTTGTAAAGTAACGTAAATGACTGCATCGGTAGCAATTTTCAGCAAACGATACGACTTGGCAAATAATCAACAAGCAATTGAAATCAATCCCTTTGATCCTTCAGAATTGAAACGCGACTGTGATTGATCGCAACTTCGGCTATTTCGCCAAAGCGGCTAATATGTTAATAAAAAATAAATTTCAACAGAGCTGCCATAAATTGTCTTTTACAATACAACGCGTGTGTATTAAGATATACGAAAATCGTAAACAATTAAAGCTGCGAAAAACAAAATTTTTTATATCTGATATAAAATTAATTAAAAAATCGATCGATTTCTTTATCAATTGAAGAACTATGTAGAAAAAAATGAAGCAAGTTTTTAATAACGTAATATAATGCAGTAAGCGAGAAAAGAAGCAGAAAGAAAGAACCGTGGTGACACGTGCACGACTACCGTTTTCTCGCATTCCCTCTCCATCCTCTTCCCTTTCGAAATGCAAAGGACAAACGTCGGTATAATTACCCGATATACTAATTTTCGAGCAAATAACTCGTGTGCGACAGCGCACGTCGTGTCGTGTTTGTCATTGTGATTCGTCATGGAAATCGTCGCGCGTAAACATCGTTCTCTATGCATGGAAAAAGTTTGGACCATCTCGTGCCGACGGTAGTGGTCCGAGACGTGTCTTTAGAACGCTGCTGAGGTGCTAAATGTAACACCACCCTGCCAACTACTGTCGCGCATAACTACGCACGATCTGTTTCTTCTTATTCGTATTTTCTTTATTAGCGTGCCGGGGATATCCTGCGAGACGAAACGCGAGTAATACGACTGGTCACCGAATTATTAATGACTCGTAAAGCCTCAAATTATACTAATAAATCCTAATAAATAATTCGTTTTTATCCTGCAAAATGAGACTTGTGCTTTGTACGATTTTAATTTTATAACACCGAAATAAAAGAGAATTTATAATTTATCTATAAATATTCGAGAATTTTATTTATTAATTTCTCAAAATTAATGGTAATATAAATTTTATATATTTTTCTCTAAGTGAAGATTTTTTTTATTTATGTGATTATATAAATTCTTCTTTTTAGATATCGAGAATCAAATTGATAAGTACACAAATTATTAATTAATGAAAGAAATTTGGTGTAAAAAATCCACATACAAGTCAAATTTTGCTTTTAGAAAAATATAGTTTCTTCCAAAAGTTATATTAATAAATATTTTTTACTTTATTAAGCTATGAATTTCTTTATATACAGTCTCTCGTGTTAATATCTCTCATGTCAATATCTCTCGTGTTTTTTTATAAGATATGTCAAATCTATACGATATGATGAACGATCTATGAGATCATTTTTCGAAGATTTCACTCTTTTTATCGCCATGCCGCCATGTCAACGCCGGTTTCACTCCCGCTTGTACCAACTAAAACTGTTATTTGGTTAGGACGCATAGAAATAGAGAGATTTCGTTTGTTTTCCTGTGGAGAGAGTACCCTCGTTGATTTTCCCTCTTCTAGAAGATCTAGCATTTCGAACGAAAGTAATGTCTAAAGTACTAATGTCATCCAAGTACTAACCAATTGCACCGATAAATAAAATAATAATAATAATAATAATTGTCTTTAGATAATTCTTTTTGCTAATTAATATGAAACAAGCTTTGCTGACTTTATTTTTCCTCTTCACGGCTATTGTAAAGCTTCACTAAATCTATTGTTAATTTATTATTATGTTTTGTCTGTGTATATAATGGCAAAAATTTTCAAACTATATTCTATACAGCATTTTAATTATATTTCAGATTTGATTAGAGAAAGATATTTAAAGTTTAATAAAAAAAGTTATTAAATATTATAGCATTATAGCTATAATATTTCAGTTCAATTCTTGGCTAAAAAATTTAAAGAAATTTGACAATAATTTTAAGATTACATAATAATTAAATAAAAAACTGATAGAATATATTATATATTAAAAATTATTATATCATTTTACTTTGTATTCTTTTCGTAATAACCATTTCAATCGCAAAACTTGTATCGATAAACAAATCTTTATATATCTTTTAGATAAGTTCTAGATATTTTCAAAAAGGAGAGGTTTCGTGACTACGAAGTGTATAGATAATTTAAATAACGTGATATTTTTAGAAAAAAAGCCTGCTTCAACCATTTGCAAATAAAATATGACACGCTCGTACGACCGTGGATCGCAAACCGCGACGTTTCGCGCTTAAACTTTCCGCGATTTTCAAGGTCGCTCGGTGATCAGGGAATCACGGATGCCGCGTTTGCTCATCGACAATATTGTCTTTTGACTGTTCGAATGCTAGTCCGTAGACGATCGTGTCGCGTCGGTGCCTTTTGAGCGTTTCCCGTCCGCCATGCTGAACCAGTATCCGGATCTCCCATTAGCCGGACTCGATCGTTTTGCAAGACCGGTTAGGAAGATAGTTGCGGTCTCGGAATCGTATCGCGCGCGTACGTGCTTTCTTCCGCGCCACATGCCCGAGATGTTTTGTCTCGCGAACGCGATTTTCTTTTTTGCAAATAAATCTTGAGAGGCGAATAGGCCGCAAACGCGTGCACTCGGTAACCAGCTTGAAAAAAGCGTTAACAAAGAATCCGAAAGAGCGACGAATACCGAAAGATTTATTCGTCGCACGCACATGTATTCAGTTTTCTTTCTAGTGGGGATATTTCTAAGATTTGTTGTTGGACATTCGAGTTTATGATTTCGCAGTTGGAGTAATTTGTGCGCTTACGTCAGTTTATGGCTACTATAAAAGTGACAACGTCTTTTCTTCAAGTCTATCTATTGGATTGACAATTATGCCATGGTGTTTCTTTGCTTTAATCCATCCATTTTCCGCGAACTATGAATATTTATTTCAACGCAATACCAAGGTGATTTAAGTCCAATCAATATTTAAAATCTACGTTTGTATTATTTATATGTATAATATTCTCAATCAATCTTTCACACAAGAGAGATTTATAGACTGACTGAAAATATTATACATATAAATAATATACAAACGTAGATTTCAAATATCGATTGGACTTAAATTGCCTTTGTATTACATTTAAATACATATATATATATATGCATATTGATAAGAACTATATGCATACAGATTACATATTTATATATTGAGCTACATTTTCAATAATATCTTAGATTTTCTATTTAAAATATATTCCGTTAGTGAATTTTATAATTTGCATATCTTACATTTATGAAACACATGTTTATTTTGAGCATCCGAGCATCCTCGGAGACAATTGCGATAGGAAGTTTCTGTGCAAATCGTAGCATCAGCAATTATTTCAATTTGTCTGAAATCACGATAAAATTGAACTAAGCTCTACTTTATATTTGCAGATTCCGGATCCGAGAGCGGGTCGCATAAAGCGGGTGTTGGTGGTGTTCGCGGTTCAGGTGGTCACAAAAGCGGCGGCGGATCCGACGGAAAACCGACGAGGGTGCGCACAGTTCTCAATGAGAAGCAGTTACACACTCTCAGAACTTGCTACGCTGCGAACCCGCGCCCGGATGCACTTATGAAGGAACAGCTCGTTGAGATGACCGGACTAAGTCCGCGTGTGATCAGGGTATGGTTTCAGAACAAGAGATGCAAGGATAAGAAAAAGACGATCGCTCTGAAGCAGCAAATGCAAGAAAAGGTAATAAGCTATGATAGCACTGATACCGGCTACGCACACACAAGAAACAATTAAAAGTTACATACCGAAACTTTAGACAAAAAAATCACATTGTCTCGATGTAAAATATTAAGATTAACAAATTAAATGTAACATTCGTTTTATGAAAATGATTGTCGCAATGTACAGTTCGTTTAAAGCGAGCTTAATAAACGAAATGATTGTCATCGTGTTTCTCCGCGTATTAATATTTGTTAAATTTTTGGTAATGATAACTTTGGCAGATTATATATGTTCAATTGTTAAAATTAACTAGCTTGTCAAATTAAAAGTCTTACTTTGCTGTTAATTTTACACGGTGCGTAAAAAGAATAAGCAAATATAACGAGACATTGGATGTTTCAGTGAATGATCTAATGGACCTAAGCGCTTTTTTTTTCAGGACGGGCGTAAATTAGGTTTCGGGGGCATGCATGGCATTCCCATGGTTGCCAGCAGCCCCGTGAGACACGAGAGCCCCATCGGCATGACGCCTTTGGAGGTTCAGGCTTATCAGCCACCATGGAAAGCGCTTTCAGACTTCGCGCTTCACACGGACTTGGACCGATTAGATCCCAACGCACCGTCTTTCCATCATTTGGTATCTCAGGTAATACGCTATGTTTAAAATACAGTTTGAAATTAAATTCTCCGTAAAGAACTTTTTTACTTCATTAAAAAACATTATTTTTAATTTTTATTTTTTTACAAAGAATTGCTATTATAAGCAGAATTTATTTTAAAAAATAGCTGTAAATACGAATAAAAATCATTTGTAAAGAAGTATTAGGATTTATCTCTCCAGTTTATACATTTAAAAAAATCAAGGGGTTGCGCTAATCCTTGAAATAATTGCAGATGCACGGCTACGACTTGCACGGGGGTCCGCCGCCGCAATTGCCGCCTCCGGGGATGCTCGGCGGGCCGATGAACGACGGCGGGGGTGGACCGTTACCGCCGCCGGGGCCTCATCATCCGGGTAGCGGCGGGCCGGACATGGGCCAGCATCCCGACAGCACCGACAGCTACGTGACCTACGTCGAGAGTGACAGTGACTCGTTTCACCACGACACGGGAAGTCCATAGTGTCGTGCACGACACAAATGCAAAATAACACCCCCGCCGTCCTTCGCTTTCGTAGCGACTTTCGTCGTGATTCTCGCCGTGACAGTGAGATGCTTGCAACGAAGGATTTACTAGCTCGAAACCGGAATACCCGATACGGATACGGTGACATTTAGATACCAAAGGACCCCGTGTCTCATCGATTTTACGGCGATAACGGAACAAGGCGCTTACCGCCTACGATCAGACGGGATTCAGAGAAATGACTTGGAAACGACAACGACGGATGCATTAAAAATAAGCGGGAGGGGGAGGGGAGGGGGGGGGGATAATATTGCTCTATCTTGGATTATTCCGCACAAATTGACATATAAAAGTAATGCTTTCATTTCTAACATAATTTCTTTGAAACATTGCAATAAGGCGAGAGAAATACTCGCGAGACACAACTATCTCATTGATTGTTCAGAAGATAGAGGTTTGGATGCTAAGAATTCATTATCTCCCTTATATGTTATCAATCTATTCGCATAAAATCATCGATGATTCTCGTTTAGACCGAACGTTACGTTATTCAATCCTGCCATTCTATTTTTCAGTACATAGCGTTTCTATATGTATTTACTGTTCACGTTGTGTTCTAATGATAAAAATTATCCCTGATATTATGATATCAGTTACGCTAAAAAAAAACTTGCAAACGGCTTGCGCGTGTGTCGTTAACTGCCTGTATATAAAAGAAGAGAAAGAAGTGATTCGACATCCAGTACTGAAAATATACTGTATATAGTTGCTAATCGCTGTAAATCTGGAGCAATGTTAAATCATAATGTACTCAGGCGCAAGTTATAGCGTAGAATATGAATAGTGGAATATATATATGTAGGCACACTAAATTTGCATTAACAATTGCATTATTCCAATTACGTTAAGTTTCAGAATGGCAAAAATGTGCTCATAAAAAGATTACAAATGCCATACGGCATTTTATTTATCCATCTTCGACGAAAAAGTTGCCATTATCATCGTTGACATTTTGCGTTATCTTTCAAGTTTGTCTGAATGAAAGACGATACTGTATTTATATGACACACGTCTTTTGTTAAAAGATGGACAATTATCGAAAAAAAGCACAAGAGAGCGGTGTTTCTTTATTTATGTTAGGTATAAAAAAGATTTTTACAAACTATACAATTAAAGACGTCTCGCAGAAGGCAAGTTAATTAAGAAAAATTGATAGAAATTTGTAGTATGATTTTATGAATTTATAAATTTATAATTCTTGCTACAAAAAATACGCAACAAGTTTCACAATTGTGAAATTAAATTTGCTTTTATTACTTGCTATTTCTGTCCATTTATTTTAAAATTGATGTTGCAATCATTTTAATGCCAATAAATCTTATGAAATGGAAGAATTAAATCGAAAAATGTAATTTAATTTAAAAGTAAGAGAATGAAAATACACTTTCATTCTCTTTACTTTTTTTACAGAGCAAATTTGAAATCATACATAAATATCTAAATATAATTTTTCTCTATTGATCCCAAATACTTATGTGATTCTGATCTTGAAAAGTGTATATTATCAGTAAATATTATCAGACTATTTAAGATACAGAGATTATAAACCGTAACATTAAACAAATTTTAAAACAGTAAAAATATATAATTTTATTTTATAATTATAATCACAGAATTACAAAAAATTTATATAATTATAATTTTATAATACATATATATTATTTTTAGATAAATAGGAATAAATGAATACAAATAATACTTGATGTTTCTTAGATTAGAATCATGTAATTTAGGCTCTTGGAATTAATAATAGAAAAAGTTTTCAATTTCTTTTTGGGAATATTTTGATAAAATATTATTGAATTAGAATCTTAAATTTTTTACATATTTTATGAAAACTGTTATTTTTCACCAAAAATGATGATTTTGTTAAATTAATAGTAATCTAATCTTGATTTTTTAAATGCTAAATGCATTGATGTTTAATAGAAATAGTTTAATCATAAAATTGAAAAACTTCTCAAGAATACTCCAATATTTCAAATAGTTTTGAAAATATTTACCAATTACACTTTTTCATGATGTAACTATCACCTGTCAGAATTCTTTAATCTAATTATTAAAAATTATATAAAGAAAAGCTCAAATGTGACTTGAGGTCTATTGCGATTATTTTAAAAAATTTATATCTGCTTCACATTCCAACGTTATTATATTACATTTCTATAAATAATATCTTGTATATGGAGCTTTATTGCATACTTCTAATACCAAAGCGTGCAAAGCTTAACAAAATGAAAAGTGCACTGAATTGTACATAATACTCCTTAATTAGTTATTAATTAGCTAATTATTTAGTGGAAACAGCTATAGCCACACAGTATGCACGATACGTGGCCAGCCTTTATGAATGTTTGTATAAAACTGTTGTACACCGCTCTCTTGTACAATACATACATGATTAAATAAAAATCATGCATCTAATGTTTCGTAATTCGTTCAAGCATCTTCAAATTTGATATTTCTATACTGGCACAATGTATGTAATAAACTGTCAAAGAAAAAGCACTTTGATGTGGTTTCTTTACTACATAATCATATATTCTGAATAATATCAAACAAATTTTTAAAACTTGTTAATTTTTACCCTCTCTATATATAGAAAATAATATTAAATATAATTTATAAAAATTAATTTTGTAAAATTATATATGTTCTGATAGAACATATATTTAAGCTTTTATAATCCACAATGATTGTAGTATTCCCAAACTAATTTACAAGAAAAATAGGAAAAATTATTTTATCAGAGATATTATATATAGTATTAATTTTAATTATATATATAATTTTCATCTGATTTTATGTTGATTTTAATATTTTAATTTGCATTAAAATAAAATATATAGAAGGCATATAGAAAAAACATATAATTTGAAGGCTTGTGGTATTAACGAAACAGAATAATTATTGAACAGAAAATCGCAGCTTATTTCAAAAAGGTTATTTTTACATAGATATATATGATCATATGTTGATTAAATATCTTTTAATCAATTCAGGGCAGTAATGCGTATGCATGTATGTACATACCTGATGATGACTCGATGCTTCATATTTTCACTGCATTTTGACGACAAAATAACTGCAACATCAGCGAAGACGATCTTGACCGATTTCAATCTCCAAGCACGTAAAACTGGATCTCCGATACTGAAATCAATCACTATATTGAGGCATCGGAATGAATATACAATATCTGACGAAAGACATTGATGATTTTTCGCACAAAATTCACACAAAGTTCGCACAAAATTCTTAATTATCACAGGAAACACAAAACAGAACAAATATGATTGTGTGATATATTGCAATACGTTTCATGACCAAGCATTATACAAAAACTATCGAGGCGCGAAATTGACTTTTTAAACGACAGTGGGCCAATCGTATGGCGGCAATTAAGTCTGTTCGTTTCAAATGAATATATCTTCAGTCTTTGATAAAAAAAGCAAGAACAAATGTTGGAAGTGTATTTATGTATACCTTGCGACAATTCTGTACTCGCTATGAAAAACGTATTCTTATTATATTTTGATGAAAAAAATTACCTATGAGACGATTTTGCCAAGACAACATCAATCAACTTCAGGCATACAGAAATGGATTATTGATACTGAAATCCGAATAGTATATTGATAGCTGTATGCGATATTTGTCAAATCTATCAATGTCCGAGATACCTTGTCCGACGAACTATACTACTTTTCGCATGTTTGCTTTGAAACAATAACGATAATAACCGCGAAAAATACGGAACGATTTAAACGTAACTACGCAGCCAGTCGCGCCATGTTTCACGAACGACAAAGATTGGAAACTATCGAGATTGCAATATTACGATTCTCAATAACGTGAACGTATTATGACTAAAGCGCTGATTGGCTTTGTGATGAAAACTAACTACACTAAACTAGTTACATACAAAATGGACCAATCAGAAAAAAATGAATAATATGTAAGTTATAATGTGGATACACCTTAAATAGAGCGCGAAAATAATTTAAATTGAGCACTATATTGTTACATGAATAAATGAGTCACGAAAAGATTCTCATTCATTTGAAGAACAAAAATTCTCACAAAATATATATACATCAAACTTTTTTCAACTTAAACATTTCTTATCGCAAAATGCATAAAAAAAAAAGATTAAAGATGTATTGACTTGATCTATTTTCTTTATTTCTTATTCTCTAATTTTTGTATGATTAATTAAAAAACCTACTTTGTAGGTAACCTAAATTGTATATATTAATAATATGTAAACCTAAATTGTATATATTAATATGGTATACAATTTCTTCAAAAAAATATATTTCTGAGACTTCTGTTTTGTTAAAACAAAGACTTATAAGTTTTTCAAACATTTTGTATATATGAACTGTTCGAACTTTGATATAATACTATGCTATTTGTATTATATTACGTATTATATTCAATTTTCAATTTTTTAAATTCTTTTTTTTTATGCATATTATATCAACAATTTTTTTCACACAATTTTTATTAAAATTAATTTGTGTGTTTCAGGTATAATAACAAGCTAAAGAGAGAATGAGTAAAAGAAAAGAGTTTGAATGTCTGTACACATGTAATTACTTCACATATGATGCTCCATTTTATAAACATAAACATCAAAGTTGCTGACAAGGAATAAGTACTACATGCTACTATACTCTGTTCCAAATTAAATTAGTGTGCGATACGTGTTTTTCTATAAGGCAGTGTAATAATTCTAACAGTGAGATTATATTTTGTAATAAATCTTTAAGTTAATTCAACGAATCTTACGAATCTTATAATGTAGACAGAACCAATCTTACTTCAATTTCCTAATACAGGTTTTCTGAAAAGATATAAGTGTCGAAAAATTAAAGAGAAAAACGTTTTTATCATTTCACAATATACCATATCATAGCATTTAAATAATAATGCCAGATACTTTAAACATTTTACCGTTGAAAATATTGCTACTCATTTTTTATTATCTCTGTCTACGCGATTTAATGCGGCTCAGTTGTGTATGCAAAAGGTTTAATCAAATTTTATCTGACAAAATTGCCTGGACTAATAGATGTGAAAAACAACTTGTCACAAATCAATCATCAAAAAAATTTTGCGAAAGGTAAGTATAAGTTTTTGCGACTTTATGTAAGAGACCAAGGGACGTCTATAAATATCTATTAGATGTTTCTTTGACCTGTATTTCTCCCAGAGGAGAGCACATTGAAGAATACATATGTCAGTTTTTGCCAACAGATGTAATCCCCTATTATCTTCACAATTGTCTAAGTGGATTATTTCGTATAATTGGAAATATGGAAATTACAAAAAAGTAATGTTAGATAAATGGACACCAAGATCATCATTATTCCCATCATGTGTTCAAATGAATGATAGTATCCTTTGGTGGAGTGATAATAATGTGCTTCATAATTTTAGGCGCACAAAGCATGATATGGCAAGATACAATATAGCAAATAATAACATTTGTGACAACATTCTTTCAACATACTATACATCTGATATTTGCAAATTTGTTCTTTGTGATAATGCTGTTATAAGTGGCCATAGGTATATATTAATTTTATCGGTTTAAGTAATTTCAATTAATTTTATCGGTTAATATTTAATTTTAAAGTTTATTTTTTTTTTTTTGTGATAAAATTTTCCATAAAAATCTTTGCAGTGATGGCGATATAAAGATGTGGATAAAAGAACGATTTAAAGAAGAAAGAATAATGAGACCAAGCAATGTTTATGTAGCGGAGACACTTTCACACGGATATTCTTGTGCCGTTAACGCTATAGATGCAATATCACAATATATAATTTCAGATTCAAATAATAATGTACTAACGATGAGATATATATATTTTACAAAATTTGCAATGATAATGCAATGACAGTACAAAATGCCTATTTCTACTTAGATGCATGCAAATATGTTCGCTAAAAATAAAACAAGAAAAAGAGGTACATTAATAAATTTTACGCATAGTCATAATAATAAAATTCTGTCACTTGCAATTGACCCCACAGGAACAAGATTTGCTGTTAGCTATCAGAAATATCCATATTTTGGTATATTCAATAATGTCGATGGAACGTAAACTATATTTTTATTTAGTGATTCTATTTAGTGATTTTATTTAGTGATAATGATGTTTTTATATTATTTTCATTATTTTCAACAATTTCAATTACTTTAGATTTAATGAAAACGTCAGTTAACAATATTTTACAACTATTAGAGGTTTATTATCAGACATACTGTGGGAAACCCCTAATATAATACTAATAATACTTTACTTATCTGTAATGATTCATTCATTAAAAAATGGGATGTAAGGTAATATATTTTCTTATTACTTATAATCAGCCATTAAATTTAGTCACTATTGTAACTTTAGATGCTAATAATTTGACTTCAGACAAAACAAGGAGGTATATTCGTGGTATTATCTAACGCATGAATTATATTGCATTTCATCTGATAATGCATATACAATGATGACAGGAACAAAAGATGGCAAAGCGCTCCTATGGGATATAAGACGCAATACTTTTATTCAAGTTTGTATTAATTTCAAATCATGCATCTTATTAATTACCTATTATTAATTCTCTTAAAAATTTTTAGAAGTATTTTGTGGATAAAAATAACACGATATGTTCTTTACAATTTGATAGCAGCCACTTATATGCTGCTACTCGTCAACATTTATATGAATATAACTTTGCAGCTCATTCTCTATATTGATTTCAACACTTGCACTACACTGCTCTAGTGCACACTAAAGGCTGCTATACACATTAATATTATATAACGTACGAATAAATAATCTATTATTTTATCATACTTGAATGTGCTATTTTTTTAAACTGGTTTAATGCATATTTGATTTACAATAATTTTAATAGCGACTAGATAATACTTGTCATCTGCTAACGTTATCAAATTATCCTTTTCTGATACTGACAAAAAATTTGAATTTTATTAACCATAAAAATATATTTTCTTGATAAGAAACCGTATCATTCTCATTATTTACTAAAATATTTATGATTTCATTGGCTAATAACTTAGTAAATTTTGCTACTTTTGTAATTTTCACTAGGTTGAGAGGTTGTACATACTGATCTTCTGACGCCAGTGCTGCCAGCGATATATATTTGCAGAGAGAAGCCTGAGAGCGGTCATCCCCCCGATTTAGCTGCAACCACAATTCAAGACGCCTCTATGTGCACAAAACGTGCACATTGAACTACTGAGCCATGTACACGATACTTTCCAGTGGGTAACATGCTATGTGCACAATGTTTGGTTCTGTTCCATTCTATGTGCACAAAGTGTCGGTAACACAGAGCTAGTAGGGTAACATTGATGTATATAAAATAAATTTTCAATAAAAAAACATGCACATGTCATTATTTATTTTTATGTTAAAGCTTAATTTACAATAAGTTCTTTTTAACATAAATATACGTGACAATTTTGTTAATAAAAATTGCATCCAAGAATCGCGACATATAAGTTTTTTTAATTTTTGTAAATTCTATTTTTATATTTTGCCCTTACTTTACAATTTTTACGTAACAAGATTATAACTTTTAGATACATAGCACGTTTTGTGCACATAGAGGCGTCTTGAATTGTGGTTGCAGCTAAATCGGGGGATGATCGCTCTCAGGCTTCTCTCTGCTGGTACGATCATTTTCTTTCTTTCAATGGAAAGAAAATTTAAAGAATGTTGTGAAATAAAATACATTGTTTGTCGAGAAAAGATTTTAATAAAACCAAATACAATATAATAATAGTATACAATAAGTAATATTAAATTCAGAAAACATATACAATGAAAAAGAAATATATACAACAATGCTGCATACAGATGCAATAATGTGATATACATATATATATGTAATACAATATACAATTATATAATAATATAATATACAATATAATATACAATATATTAATACAATATTTTGTACAAATGAGAAACAGATTTTTACAAGTTTACAATATTTAAGAGAAATGTTCCAGTGGCAATATATTTAAGAATTAATTATTATTAAAAATGTGATGTTTTCTATGAAAATAATATTTTTAATATTATATAATAAAAATTAAAATTTACTTCGCGGAAATTTAAAACCAAAATTTGCATTTATTAAACGACGATATTAAATATTTGCAAAAATAATTGGATACGTAAATTTACCACAGTTTCCGGACATTATATTTATGAATATTAAAAAATTATTTTGTTCATATATTTTCGGAGATTGAGACATATCCAGCCATTGGGACATTTAGCTTATTACAATTTTTCTTAATATATTATCCTGTATTCCATCGAAATAATATACAAGATAATACAAAATGAAAATAATATGCCAATATGTCAATAATATGTCAATAAAATCATTTAAACGTTCAAAAGTTTTATGTATAATGCAAAATACTTTAGTTAAAAAGAGCTGAACAATACGATTTTTTATTTATAATCAAAAGTATCTCTTATAATTCAAAAAGTAGTAATATTTTATTAGTGAAATTTATTAATCTAAACATTTAAACGTCTAAACGTTCAAACTTTTTCATAATTTACGCAAGAAACATCTTTCGTTTTTCGAAAGAGAATCTTGCTGTTTGCCCACCCGAAGTTTTATCATTATTTTTGTCATCAATAAACTACAAACTAACTGCCAAAGCAGAAGTTTATCGACAGCAAAGAATTAAAAAAAAAAATACAATATAGAAGTGATAAGAAGTTTTAAAATCCTACCTACCTACCCACAAACTTTATCTAGTAGAAAATCCTACCTAATTAGAAATTCTATACCTAAGAGTTCGTACAAAAAATTTTCCGCAAGATGCTTTAGCGCAAAGCTCGACTCAGTTACCGCCATTTGTATCTGAATTTCGGGAAGGAGTTTTTCGCAGGATGCTTTAGCGCAGAGCTCGGCTCAGTTACCGCCATTTGCATCTGAAATTCGGGAGGGAGTTTTTCGCAGGATGCTTTAGCGCAGAGCTCGGCTTAGTTACCGCCATTTGCATCTGAATTTCGGAAGGAAATTTTCCGCAGGATGCTTTAGCGCAGAGCTCGGCTCAGTTACCGCCATTTGCATCTGAATTTTGGGAGGGAGTTTTCCGCAGGATGCTTTAGCGCAGAGCTTGGCTCAGTTACCGCTATTTGCATCCAAAATCTGAGAGCTACTACCTTGGTGTTTCTCAAAAGACGCTAGCGCAGAGCTCAGCTCAGTTTCCGCTAGTTGCGTCCGAAATTTTTGTTGATAGTCGATCATTATTCAATGATCGATCGTATCAACGTTGTTTCGAGATCTGTGCTCGACCATCATCGACGGGACCACGAATTTCGAATTTCCGCGCTCAACCATGGGATCAACACTAGAACTACCGACGATTAACATATACCAATTTTTATTTCTTTTTTCTTTCTTTTTAAAAGGTGATAAAGAGAAAAAGTTCATTAATCAATTTAATTATTTAACACAATGCAACACAAGTCACAGAAAAAAATCTCAAAAAATACAATATAAATTTAAATAATTATTCTAAAATGAATAAACCGGTCATTTTGACCGCTTTGATAGTTCTAGTGTTCTAATGTTAAGCCATAGGACCACGGATGCATGGGTAAGCTAGGAAAGATTGCGAAAAAATTGACGTATAGCAAGAATAAATATATATTTTAAAATTGTAAATAAATTGTTAATAAAAAATGCACTCTTTCTTTATTAGATCAATTATTTCAAATATACCATAATTCATTAATATATTTACGTTTGTGTAAAAGAATTTTCTTTTTTATTTTTAATTTAAATTTGTGATACATTTGTGGTACATATGTATTTAAAAATTTTCTTACTTTTTAGTCTTTTTCAACGCCAATTTATAATATTTAATCCTGGAAGATATAAAAAAATAAACCACTTACCGTTAGGAAAGGAAGAAATAAAAGTACACATTTACACACAGAAAAAGAATTTTGCTATCGCAATAAAATAATCGTTGCTATTGCATGTTAAATATGTTAGCGATAAAATTTCGCTATTGTAACTATTTTTACAGATTATTCAATATGCAACAAATCTGGTTTGTTCAAAAAATCGACAAATTTTGAGATGAGAAAACAAGTTAAAATTCGCTGTTACAACAAAATAATTAATTTTTAATAAATTTATTTTACTATTGCAATGAATTGTCGCCATTAATACAAACTTTGATAATAAGATAAAAATAAATTTCTTATTATATATTAG